CCATATTTACAACTACAAGATAAATAATGTTGTAAATGTTATAAACCATTAGGGGACTTGGTATTCGGGGTGATTGAAACTAGGCGGTCATGATCGTCCAGGCATAAGGAAAAGTGTACCAGTTCTCAAATAATCCGCATGATCTTGCGCCCTCACAGGAATGACCAATCGAATACATACCTATATCTAAACAAGAATAAACGGAAGTGTGATGTGTCAACGCGGGGTGCACCTAAATTGCTACTTTAATGTAGAATCAATGATAAGCCACTAGATTTGGTGCTACATTCGTGGACAAAGCCATAATGGATGTCAACAGAAATGGCGGTTTTTGACTGGAAAGATTAGCACTGTCATGATGTGGGTTTCTTGCAGAAAAAATCCTGCCGCACACACGCAGTACATTCCTGCTCCTAATGTGACGAGGTTTAAAAGGCTTGGGCACCCAATTCTGAGCTAAGCATGTCAAAACTATTTGCACGCCAAAATTTGGCACATAGTCAGAATCTCCTTTGTTTCATTGTCGAGTGTGATAGGGGCAGGTGAAATGACTTCAGCTCTCAAAGGATGTCACTGAGAAGTAGAGCCTAGCAAAAGGATGATTCCTGTCTATGTCTCCTCTAGGAGCTGATTTTCCGGGCTTATCAGCATGTCAATGATGTTTGGTTGTGAATCTCTGTGATTTTTCTAGCGAAATATCGTTGTTCCCAGGCAAATGATCAGAACTCACAAACTAGAAATAGGCCATTTGGGGAGATTAGTACTGCACCCCTACATCTTATGACATCCCCCAATTCTTCCCATCATCTATGGTGTACTACCAGTATCGTGTGGTTCGGGAAACTTACTACCAGGGCCGCACACGCACAGCTCCTTCGCTCCCTCATAACCACCGGATAGAACAACAAATGGGGTTGTCCTAAAATAGAGGTATACCCCAGAACTACAATTTAAATGGTAATGATGTTTTAAACTTTAAACTTTAAACCATCAAATTTGACAGTCGCCCCCGAAACTTTCAAGACATACACCCACATCTCTGGTGGTTAAAAAACCACCCCACCCAAGCGTCGTCATTTGAGGCGCCAGCCGAGGCTTCCCCCAGGAAGAAGCGATAGCGCAAGCCGTAGGTCTCCCGCAGCAATCGTCCCCAGGTTTCCTGGCAAACTTTGACAGACCCGCCATGCAGTACTTGGATATTCTTGGGGGGTTACCGGTAACCCCTAAAACATAAGTATATGAATTATTAATAACGGTTAGTAATGGCTAAATGGTTAATACAGTAATGGTTATTGATGGTTAATAATGGTTAATACCCTCTGGTGGATTCACAGTTTGACCCTGAAAATAAGCCATTGTTAGTGGAAACTCGTCTTCCAACCCCGATGACTGCCAGGGACTATGTTAATTTACCAGAGGCACAGAACTTAGGATATGTTGGGATGTGATAGAATTGGATACAATGGGATATATCCCCCGGTCGATGTTGGTTGCTTTGGGATTTGATGGAGATTTACCAACAATATATGGAATAGACTGGGTGAAGTAGGATTAGGATGTACCATGGATATATAGACATATACATTTATGTATATATATATACAGTATAAACCAACAAACATAAGTGCGGGGGCCCACCTTTCAGTCCCATTCCCATAAGACAAACGGTGACCAAGAAAGATAGGGAAAATCACCTGCAAATCATCCGAAGATCAGCAAAGTGGGCTCATCTTAGGTACTAAGTGCAAAGAATGAAATAGATATGGGTATGGATCAATACCTATTAATACCATTTTTAGGGGGATGAACATCCATAAATCCCAGCTATTTTGATGTTCACCAGGGGTACAAGGTTTTGACACACTGCCATATGAACTATTCCGCTGAACTCTTCCGCTTTTTTCAGCTGCCGTCGCAACTGTAAAAAACCACATTGTTGACGGGAGAAAGTCCCATCCTCCCCAAAAATGACCCAACTAAAGGCACCCCCCAAAGTGAACAAATCTGCTAAAACACCGGGACGGATTAATGAAACCTGGCACACTGGAATTCCCTGTTTCTGTATGGTATGTGGAATAGAAGGTTTTCCACTGGGTTAGATTCCCGGAGACTTCACTGACACGCTGATCAGTGTGTCACCGGACAAAATGGGCTGATCACCCAGAGATGATTGTTGATGGCTATGGCTCAAGAACATTGAACATTCAAACTGCTGCCGGTCCAAGTGGTTTGAGCAACAAGAGCTGGAGATTCAAAAACCAAGAAAGGTGATAAACCAACGAGGGATTTGACCAAGAAGAACCGCTAAGCAAAAATGAACCACCAAAATGTGTGATAATATGCTTTAATCAAGTGACATATATATCATATAGTGAAAGAAAAAGCAGATGCAACCAACGGAAATGAGGAGTTTTCCAGAGAGCGGAGATGCAACCAATAGGAATGAGGATCTCCGCTAGAAGGCCGGACCCTTGTGATATATCAGATTCTACCAATACTAATCTAGTCCTATCACTCATCAAACTCAACAAAAATTGTTCCATCCATTGAGCAGAATAGAATATCTGGATTCTCCATGTGTGGCTTTTTCTTTAAAGGGGGGGACCCCTTCTTCACGATGGGTATCCAAATTAAAAAACCACCATTCAGCTGGATGATCACGGATCACAGGGCCGCAGCCGATCGTCGTTCTTCGATCGAACTTCAACGTTTGGTACGGTAGGTGACAAGTAGGTGAAAAGCAGTTTGTTGTTTGTTGAACCGACCATGTTTAATGATTCTTGGTGCTAACAATCGTGTTTCTTCATTCCCAATGTTCGGCAGGGTCAAATCCCGAATTTTTGCTGTTTGGATATGTATATAAATATACGTGTATATATATATATTATAATACATATGTGTGTATATATATATATACACACAGCATTTATTCAAATAAATATCAACTATTTGTTCATGGTCAACTCCACCTTTGGAGCCACGGCACCCGCACAGCTTGGCGCTTCTCAAAGTTCCTCCGCGCCGAGTAGATTCCCACGAAGACCCGCCTGATGCCAGGAAAATCCAACCAAATCGGGTACCCTCTGGTTATTTAACAGTTCACCATGGTATAGATGGCCCATAGAAATAGATGGTTTACCTATTAAAAATTGTGATTTTCCATGGCTATGTTAAATAACCAGGGGGTATATGGTCCAGCAAAAAAAAAGTCTTTACCCGATCCAAACTGGAATCTGAACAGTAGAAATTGGCATCGAACCTTCAAAAATTGTGATTGAACCAGAAAAAAATCAGAGGCAAGAGATAAAAAAATCTTGCCTGGGACAACACAGAATGGGGCCAATGAAATACCCTCTGGTAAACGGAAACAGTTTGCGAACTGGAAAATCACCGTTTTTAATGGGTAAATCAACGATTTCCACCCATTTTCAATAGCAAACTGTCCACCAAGGCACTGAGGTTTCACGCCATCCGCCAAAAGCCTGACACCACCAAGTCGGGAAAACCTGGAAATCTGGAGTCTGAAAAATGGGCCATACCGGCTATACCCCAAAGAAAAACTGATGGAATGTAATATCAACTATGGTTGATTTATAGAATGGGATTGATAGGTAACTATCTACCATATAAAGTCACCAGAATGTGATTTATAGAATGGGATTTATAGTTTACCAGAGGCTAACCCCAAAAAACGATGGTTGAAAACCTAATGTTCCCCACATAAAACTGCCAGAAATTGGTCGGGCAAAGCCAGATGGAACGCCCCAAAAAAGTAATGTTGCAGCAGGAAAAGCATGTTCCGGACCCCATTTGTGGGATTCCATGTTGGCATGCAGCAGTTTGAATGACTAGTTTCCCGGGTTCATTTCCCAATAGGTCCCAGCTATCAGGAAAATTGTCACTATATTCCTCTCACACAAACCATGCACTAACTTCATCGCAGCAGGTTACATTTAGGGCTGTTCGGGCGACACGAGCAAAACAATGTTATTTTCTGTAAAGACGCAGTCACAAACCCCATCAATTTTCTGCTTCTGCAAAAGACTTTTTTCCGATGATTTTGGGCGTCAAGACTTTCTTAGACACAGCTCTTTGCAGGATTCCACATTCGGTCTGAGATGACTGACTTCAAACAGTTGCATATTCAGGTAAAATCGTCGATGGTGCAAACCAATTCCATGACTAGTAATCATATCGGAGTCGTCGTCATCATCATCAGCAGCAGCATCATCAGCATCATAATAATCATCCCCAATAGATGTAGGGTACGAAAAATGTGAAACTCATCCTCACCCCAGCGGACCTGCACATGGTGCAAGCTTGACCTTGAATGTTTGTGCTCCGTTTGAGCACTTTTTTTGCCATGAACATCTGGAGTTCACCATCAAAACTCGAGTTTGGCCCAACTATGATTGGGACTGGGTCACATGGGATGAAGTAAGTCTGTACCCATTGCAAAAAAAAACGCGATTTCGTCCACCACAACCAGCAATATGAGGTCGGTATTGTCGCCAGCCGGGTCGCGTTTTTCACATGGGGCCAGTGATTCAAGCAACAAGAAATGGAGGTCGACTGGCGCAAATGTGGATGTTTACCAATCAATGGATTGGTTTAAGGGAAAATATACTGGTTTAAGCCCCATATTTCATGGGAAAATCTATGGTTTCCGGTTAAGATTTTCCCTTAAACCAATCCATTGAACCAACCAAAAATGGAAACACATCAGTGGGTAGGAGTCAAATGTATGGCATGTCCAACAGCTTTGTGCCATGGTGACACTCATGGCTCTTGTGACCTGAAACTGCAACCCAGCAAACAAAATGAGCGCCAGCCTATGCCTGGCGTTTGGGGTTTAGGATATAGGAACCCCTAAGTTGAGATTCAGAAAAGTAGTTGTTGTTGGAAAATAGTTATCAACTTTTACATACTGTGAGCCTCACAGGGTGTGTATATATATAACCTTTTCTGGGGGTTGGAAGTTGGGATTGTGAAATTCCGAGATCTCCAAGCTCTAAACTGCTCAGCTAAGCAACTGAAGAGTTTCTCCTCAAAGGGTCTGTTGTATCCTCAGCACATTGGTGGGACGATGCAGTTGCGAATTTCAACAACAAAAAGCAGCTATTTGAGCAACTACCCTCCAGATGTACCCTGCGGTATATTAACATAGACCCTGGGAGATGGGGGTTGGAAGACTAGTTTCCACTCTAAATTGGTCATTTTCAGGGTCTATGTTATTGACCAGATGTAATCAACTGCAATAATTTTTATGCAATGAAATTGGGGATTGAAGCAGCAACAACTGGGATTAAACCACCAAAAGCCTTCTGTTCATCGATGTTTGCTACCATAGGCCTTCCTGATCCACTGGCTGAAAAAAAAACATGGCAAGATCCAAGTAGCGAACCCCTCACCAACACAAAGACGGATGTTTTAAACCAATGTACATTGATCACAAATGACCATGGATCATATTTATCATACGTATCATGTTTATGCCTACGGCTCTATTTCCGTACGAGTAAAAACGCGTTTTTTGGAGTTGGGGTGGGGTGGGGTGGGGTGGGGGGGGGCAATAACGTTCTTGTTACCACGCTCTTGATGCTACGTTGCCAACTTGTTGAAGTAACTTCCAAGACGCTGTGGATGCCACGCTGCTGACATGTTGAAGTAACGTCTACCACTCTGTGGATGCTACGCTGCTGACATGTTGAAGTGATGTCTGAAAATGCCAGTGAGGACCTGTTCAAAAAGACAGGAACAATGATGAAACAAATGTGAGCCGACCTGCGGTGTGAAAAGACATGCATTGTTTGTCGTGCAGGGATCATGTTGGAACAAATCAAATTTCCACTTTCGGTAAACGTGGTATTTACAGGGTTTTGAGCAAAAATGGATGAATTTGAGTCCACTTTTTTTGATCCATTTTTCCAAGACGTGCCCAACAGTCATTTTCTATTGGTATTTACAGTGTTTTTTAAATGTCCTCATTTCAGACGTGTTAAAACGCTCGCGCGGTTTCAGATCCGGGGGGGTTATCTAAATCCTTCTGTTCATCGATGTTTGCTACCATAGGCCTTCCTGCTCCACTGGCTTGATTATTCATGGCAAGATCCAAGTTGCGAACCCCTCACCAACACAAAGACAATTGTTTTAAACCAATGTACATTGATTACAAATGACCATGGATCATATTTATCATATGTATCATGTTTATCATGTTTATCATATGTCATGTTTATCATATCTATCATGTCTATAATATATAATATCATATTTATCCCAAACCTGGATTTCTGATATGTTCTGTGTCCCAGGATCTATACAGCACCTGGTCTTGGATAATGCGCTGGTAATGCCATAGCGCCCCGATGTGCTTGTTGTGCCTCAGCAAACAGGATTCAACCAGCAATTGCTTCACTTTTGAGCGATTCCCCCAACAAAATTTGTTCGATATCTGTACTGACCATCTACAGGCTGAAAAGAGTGTCTGAGACAGTTGCTGAATGGCAAATGAACTGAGAAGTCTCTCAAAAATTGACCACTACATGAAAGAACAAACATCATACAGGTACTTGATGGTACTTGCGGATGATGTACTAAGTATACGTTGCCTGACTGACGTAACTGTCAGACACCCTCACCTCACAGGTGATCGGTTGATGGGATTTAGGACCCATCAATGACATCCTTTGACCAGGCCGAGAAACGCAAGTACCCTGTCCCAAAATGAGATAAGCCACTAAAATGATTCAGAATGATCAAGATTGATAAAGTCTTGTAGGCGCTTGTAGGCAACCTCTGGGGCCAATCTTGATTCGTTTCTTGCGTTTCTTGGACACTTGTGACATGACCGTGAAGCCTTCCAAACGGATGAATCTACCCATGTGAGTTCAACCATTTTGCTTAACTTACTGGTGCTTAGCAGGGAATGAGGGAATGATCCCAGTCATCACATTCGTAATGTCATCATCCCAGCAACCTCCAGCAACCCATCCATTCCCTACGTAAAACGCACCGGGAAGTTGACGTCATGGTTTTAATCTGTGTTGGTTGTGTTCTATCCCGTGGTTTCTATCCCCACAAACCTCAAATATTTCTGGGTGAAATCATCTGCTGTTGAAGTTCCATCTCTTTGCTTGGTGAGATCACACCAAATTTCTAGGGATTCTTAATCACCAGCTTCTCACATGTACCAGCTTTGCTGCTTTGCTGCTTAAGAATCCCTAGAATTTTTTTTTGGTTGAAATCCTCTGTGAGTCAATCCCCTTTGGTGAAATCCAGCATATTTTGCTCTCAAGGCACCTGTGCAACGTTTCAATCCTCGGCAATTGGGAAGAAAAATGGGGATATGTCCATCTATATCTACAAATAATATGTACAATATGCAGGTATAATTCGTACAATGGGCATAATCCGCATAATATGTCAAATCCGTATAATTAGTGCATGTGTACAAACACATAATCGACCATATAAGATTTGGTGAGTTCGGAACATCTAGAGCAGATTGGAAAAAATAGGTTTTAGACCAAATTAAGGATGCTCCATGTTCAGATAAATCCATTTTTGCTGATTTTGCTGACATGTCATGACCAGATTGGATCAGACTTCAACTTGTAATCGATTCCAAAGCCGATACTTTGCCTGATGAATGTGTAAATATAGTATGAAATGAAATCAAATTATAATATCAAATGTAGTTTAAAAAAATGTGCTATACCACAAAGGTACCACTTCAACGGTAAAAATGATGACCAGCCCGCTGCATCAGATCTTCCCTCAGCTGAGGCTCGTTTCGGGCAGGCTGAAATCTTCGGGATCGAAATCGGCAATGGCGTTGAAGACCATTGACCTTAGAACGATAATCCGTTAGGCTTCGTTGGAAGCCAGTAGGCATCAAAGTATAGATGTATATCATAAGATTTCTAAATCTCGGATGGATGGATGGATGGACGGATGGATGCATGGATGCATGGATGCATGGATGCATGGATATGCAGATAGATAAGACAGATCGATAAGACAGATCGATAAGACAGATCGATTGGGGAAAGATTGAGGCAACCAACCAGAAATGGATTGATTTAATGGCGAAATTGCGGGCAACCTTGGTTTTTGCCCCAGAAATTTGGGTTTCAATGGGTTTCCTCCAAGAATGCCCAACTCAACCAATTCAGGAAATGTTCCTGCTTTCTGTCGAATTTCCTGGGGAACCAACACGTGATCAACGTCTCAGTTGACAAGATACCCAACCTCCACGAAGCCGTTAAAAACTGCGATCGTGTGATACCTGCAGCGGCAAGTCATCCATGGTCATCCCACAATGGAAATCCTTATGGTACATTAGAATCCTTATGTTGGCTTAATGTACCATCTGGGTTTGTCTGAAAATAGAGAAAACCCCTACACCCAATGGTTTTGCTGATCATTATCCCTACTAAATGGCTATTTCATTGGGGGTATACCCCATTTTCAGACATACCCATCTGGTTATGACTAACATAGCCATGGAAAGATCCACCATTTTTAATAGGTAAACCATCTATTTCTATGAGCCATCTATACCATGGCTATGTTAAATAACCAGAGGGTACCTCATGAAAATTTACCTGAGATTGGAATCCCTATAATTGGAGCCTCTGAAATGACCATCTCAAATTATTGCTTAATTCCAATAACCATCAGCCTGTCCATTCCAATAACCATTAGAATGGCCCTCTGAAAATGGATTGACCATCCTTCGAGGTTATTAAAAAATCCTGATTGAATGGCCATGAAAAAAATCCTGATTTGATGGAGCCGTGACCATCCCCTATGGGAAAAGATATAACATGATATAAGCATATAACCATGGTTTTTACCATGGCATAACTGGGAACACTGATACTTGGTCATATTCGCTGATATCAGTGTGGTTCTCAAACATTCATGGTATGTGTAGTCAAAATCGGTTGATGAAATCATTCAAATCCACGCAGGAATTTCAGAACCCTCAATCAAATGAGAAATTAATCCTGATTGCAACAACAAACAACAGCGAAAAAATAACCCTGATTGGAAAAAACAAACAAACGAACAAACAAAACAAATTAATCTTAATTGCAACAAAACAAAATCATTTAAAAAAAGAAAATGCATCCATACTGACTTAACAATGAAATGTGGAAAATGTAATCAACTACTAAATACTCACTTCTAAGTAGTTTCTCCGTTTTTTGAGGACATATTACACGACACTTGATTTTTGTGCTATACTCCTACTCAAATTGAGGAAGTCTCTGTTCATGGCCCTAGATTGATCTAAATGCATACGACAAAAGAGTTTGGACATTCCAAAAAGATAGAGCTCGCGCCCGCTCATCCCTGTGTAGGGAAAGCAAGGGAAGATAAAGGAAGGTCTTAAATGCTGTTTTACAATCCAAGACAGCTCACTTTCAAAGTGCCCACCATACCATTTTGGGTGCATACCTCATGTTGAAACACACCCAAATATCATAGTAACTGGGTTAACTATCTGTGTATAGACAAATATATATATATATGAATGAATGATATGTATATATATATGTAGATTTAAATATATATATAGATATGTAGATTTAAATATACGTATATATATATATATATCCCATTACATCGTTCTTTCCCCATTCATATTGTCCCATTGTATCCCTATACGTGTCACATAAAAATACTCAAGTTTTGATCCACCCGCCGCAGATTGAGCCGTCGACGCTAGGCTTCCTTTGGACAAGGTGTGTGCCAGGCTGGAAGATCATGAACCATGAACGTTCGGGGTTTCTATTACAATGTACTGGTTGGTGGTTTCAACCATCTTGAAAAAAAGTCAATGGGAAGGATTATCCCATATATTACGGAAAATAAAAAATGCTTGAAACCACCAACCAGTGTACTTTAGTGTGACGTAATGAATATATGATGATGTACTATGATATCATAATGTACGAGTACCATCATGTATGAACCATGAATGTGCATCCTCCATAATCCATTGTATATTGGATCTTTCAATACTGAGTCATCCCCAACAAATGATGTCCAATGGCGAACAAAATGTATGAATCAATGGATGCTTGTCTGGCAACCAGTTCGTCACCATCCCCAATGTTGGTTTGTGCAAGAGGGTATACCATATACCATGCACGCCAACAAACTGGGATGATGTTTTTAATGACCTCTAGTTTCATTGGGCTTAAAACATGACAAAAAATGTCGGACCAATGGGTCCACATGTTTGGGAGGAGTTTTAGCGCAAATGCAGGGATTGTGGCAGGAAATCTCGCTCGATTTCAGCCCCTTCCATAGTGCAGTGCATTCAATTTCAGACATCCCTGACACGATGTGGGCCCATCCCTCCTTCTGGGACATCCATCCCCCAATAGAGCAGTAGACGCGTGAAACTGTCCGAGTTTGCACAAGTCAAAACCGCCTTGGAAGGAATCATTATATAATGGAATTATGGATATCATCGGAATTAATCAATATTAATGGTAAGTTTCAAATACAGCAGATACGCAGCCATCACAATTTTGCATCACATCTTCAAGTCACCCGCGGATCCGGAAAAACTGTCGCTTCGCCGTCGCTTCGCCGTCGCTTCGCCGTCGTTGCCAAGCCACGAATGAACAAGGGCGAGATCGAATGTCTCGTGACGTCGTCTTCCGGAATCAGACCTCATCCCAGGATCCAGGACATCCCAACAGCGCAGATACGGCACACGACCCAAAATGGGGAGGTTTCACTAGCGTCACCATCGAAAACATGAACAAGTCAACAAGACTGGCACAAGTTTGCCAACAACCTCAGCCAACTGGAAGCATTACTATATCCTCTACTAGTCAATAGAAAGGCAGTGATGGAAAACCCTCAATTTTTGCTTGGAGAATCTCTCACATTCATGGGTATGTCCAAAGTTGATGGTTTAAAAACTCATGTTCCCTAGTAAAATTGCCGTTTTCAGGGCCGAGTCCCCAGCTTTTCAGACCCTAGTCATATGTGCCATGGTCAAAAGATGGCAAATGTTGAGTTTCTGGTCATCTTAACATCACTAGGGATTCCTTACAATGGCTATATACCCTCTGGTAAACTAACATAACTATGGAAAATCACCATTTCAATGGGTAAATCAACTCTAAATGGACCATTTTCAATAGTTTTTTGTATGTTTACCAGGCCGGGTAAATCCCATTCATCCATTGACGACCGACCGACCATCTGCTGATTTTCCCCGATTTCATCGATTCAAATAGATCCAAATAGATCTCAAAGCTCGGGTAAACAGTTTTGAGCTTACTACTTTTACTGGAAATTTGATCGACTGGGGAAACCATCCAGTCTGATGATATACTGAAAGTATATCTCCCAATAGTCCCGTAGATTGCACAAAGTCACGGAAATTCGATCCCAATCTATAAGATCTCCCCAATCCCAATGAAATCCCATGAAATCCCATGAAATCACCATGAATCTCCATCAAATCCCTATATTTTTATGTGGCTTAACTCCCCTTTGCCGAGGCACAGAAGCGATAGCTTTCGAAGGCGCTTCGCAGGGTTTCCTCGTCGCCGTCGTCGATGAAGACGTGCTGCGGCAACAGCTCCATAGCCTGACAGAAGGAAACGGAAAAAATGTGTCGAAATCATGGGAAATTACGTTGTTTTATGGAAACTCATCTTAACATATCTTAACTTTGATCAGAATAGTTGTTTTCGGCAAAATCATGGTTTTATGGAAAACATTGGAAAATAGTGGTTGATTTACTGGAAAATCATACGCAAATCTCTTGTTGTTGGACGTTTTTAAAGGGTTTCCACCTTGTATTTCCTGCTGAAAGGGTGTGGAAGCTCCAGGTTATCCATGGATCCCAACAAAAATGGAGGGTTTAATGGGGATTACTGGTGATTTGATGGGACTTACGTGGATTTTTGATGGGGATACAATTGATTGGTTACGGGATCATAGGATCATTTAACCACCTCCAAAAATCCAAGTGCGAAGGAACTGCGACAAAATACAGGGATCATTCTATGACAAGCTCTCAGGAATGCAATGTCATTCCAAGCCGAGTCTAACATGAACATTCAAGCAACAAGGATCCCACATAATTAACTATATATAATATTAAATATATATGTATGTATAAAGCTTTATATCTAGATATAGATAGCTCGATAGATCGATAGATCGATAGACCGAGAGATCGATAGATCGATAGATAGATCGATAGATAGATAGATAGATGGATAGACAGATAGATAGGTAGATAGATAGATAGATAGGTAGATAGATAGATAGATAGACAGATAGACAGATAGACAGATAGACAGATAGACAGATAGACAGATAGACAGATAGACAGATAGACAGATAGATAGACAGATAGATAGATAGATAGATAGATAGACAGATAGACAGATAGATAGATAGATAGATTTTTTTTGACCACTTCCCCATTTGGGGTTTGGCCACGAATAGGGTAC